CTTTTCCCAAAGATGTTTTGTTTCATTATAGCTAATAATCACAGCTATGGTTCCTTAAGGTTAACCTGTGTTAAAGCCAGGGGAACCCTCCACCTTCTTTGTGATGCTTTCCCTCCCTCCTTTCCTCCCTCCCTGCTGTTTGTGACCTGATGGAACAGCTTGTTGTTGCTGATACGTGGACTTGCCTAGCCTTTGGCTTTAAGAAAACATTTTTATAGCTATTTTCTTGAAAAAAATAACTATTGATTAATATATTTCTTTGCATGCAAATAGAACACGAGGCCTGATCTGGCAGGGTGCCAAGCGTGCTCTGCCACACAGTGAATTCTGTCACTTACAGTGCTTTCCAGGCTAGCTGCTGGAAATGTCACAGGATTAATTTCGGAATCCCCTGAGGTGCCTGTTGGCTTTGTCCAGAATCATTACTCATTCTCTGCTACGTACACAAGCTTATTAAAACACGGTGAGACCTTGGTTTTGTTTGCTGCGTTGCTGTTTATTTCCATTCTGTTCCATCTTGGCCATTACCCTTTGCCTACTGATATGTTACGTGAGCACCTTGCAGTGGCAGCTAGCCGTGCTCTTCCGTTGTGCATGCTTATTTTACGGCACACATGAGCTAACCGATGCGAGGAGGCCAACCACAGTCCCCTCCAGGCTACCTTCCTGCCAGAGACCCGTTATTTGCGCCACTCTCTGGCTTGTGCCCCTCACTTCTAGTCTGTGATAGTGTAGTGAAAAAATCAATAGCAGACAAATGAGCAGACACGACATCATCCTTGCAGATAGGGAGGACTTGCAGGCAGCCAATAGATCATGTATGTGCTTTAAGAATGTTTGTGGAGACGGAGTTACGGTCCAAGAATGTGCAAATAGCTGCCCATCCCAGTCTTCCATGCCTGCGATTAGGGAGAAGTGCTAAACCATCTCTAGACTTGATTAGCATCCAAATCTGAAAGATGTGTCTTGCTCTGTGGAGCTGGATGGGGTGATTTTTCTAGGGGAGTGAAGAAGAAACAATGTGAATGGAAGCTCTTCCTCACCTTCTCTCTGCTGGAGGCTCACATAAAACCCGGGGGAGCTGGCTGGCGAGGGCGGGTGGGCTGCTCTGCCAAAGGGTCCTCGCGTGGGCTCCTTCCAGCAGCCCCGAGCGAGGAGCCGGGCAGCTTGCACAGCCCCGTGGGGAGAGGGACAAGGGGACATCCCTTTGGGCTGGTCAGGAAGCCTGCCCGCTGCTTTCCCAGGGACCCGTGTCCTCGGGCAGTCAAAGGTTAGCAGGGGCTATCAGCAGGCTGCTGGGGTGCGGAGACTTTTTTACGATCGCATTAACATCCCTCTTCCTGTTGTTGTACAGAAATTATGACTTCTAGTGTCAGTGCTGAGGTGAAAGCAGGAGCTCTTTTCCATGGAGCAGGCATTAAAACCTAGCTGTTATGTTAGTCATAAAAGAACATTAGTGCTGGCTGGCGGCTATTTACTTTCAGAGAAATTTGCTTCTGTGTTGTTATTCGTTTAACTCCTGGCACTCGTCTGTGTCCTTTCGTACGCAGCCAACTACGTATCTGTCACTGTCCCCTCTTACTGCCTAACCTGAGGTCTGCTTCTGAAACTCCCAACGAGCTCAACCTTTAGACTTACGGAATAATTTGGGATCAGAGCAGAAAAATGGGAGATAGAATAGGTTTTCCAGGCGAGCAGTGTGTGATAACACGATAATGATTGTAAACAGTTGTGAGAGGAGAGCCTCTGCTTTCACAGACCAGGCTTTTGCAGGATGTACCCATACAGTGTTTAACAGTGCCATGTCAAAATAAAAATAATTGATTAAATGTGCGCCTTACTTGTGCTGCTAAAAACACTTCTAGATTATACATGCTGAAAACAGTAAATATTTAATGTACAGGTTTACTTTTCCTGGTTTATAGAGAGCTCAGTGGGCCTGACAGAGCAGCTAGACAGATGTGTTTATAGCGAGCTCCCGGGCGGGTACAATGCTGCAGTGTTTGGCCTGCGAGCACCGCAGGGGCATGCTTGAAAAAATAAAAGTGTTCCATTTACATTGGGGGAAAAAATCTTGAGAATGTTTCTATTAATATTAGCCAGTGTAAAACCCCAGATTCTACATTTCAGGCCTTACATATGTCAAAAATAGAGGACTAGATGGTGGCTGGCGAGGATGTGGGGTAAGAAGCGTTTCCTCGCTTATGTAGCTGGTGAAAGGGACGGTCAAGGCAGCAGCTCTTCTTGCCGGAGAAGACGGCTGCTGCTGCAGTGCCCGTGGTGAAGGTCGGGTGTGAAATGGGGAGTTGGGGAGTGAGCAGAGCGGGCAGCAAACCCTGTGCCTGGGGAAGCGTGGGTGGGGGCACGGGCCAGCATGCGCTGCCTGGGGTCCTCCACGGACTGGGAGCTGGGGCTCAGGACCATGGCTGAGAGCTGGGATGCTAACAGCGGGCACATTCCTGAAAGGCCAGAGGGACCAGATGCCTTGGGGTAAGCAAAATGTGCAGAGCTGTCCCTGCAGGATAGGATGCTCACACCTCCCGCACCTGTGAGATGCCGGCGGGGGCGGTGGGAAATCCACTCAGGGAGACTTGGTACATGTTCGCTTTGATCTTGGCTGAGGCCTTATCTGAGCACTACATTCTGATCTCAGTTGTGCTGATGTTAAAGCTGATTTATCTGGTCAAAGTTAATGGCATTAATTAATTAGCAGACATTAATTAACTGAAACAACTGACGTTTGCATTTCTGGAGAGCTCCCAAGGAATAGGTGGCTTCATCTGCCCCTCTCTGGTTTCCTCAGAAGTTATCCTCGGCTGAGGATTGAGTTTATTTTAATAATCTGATTAAATAGCTGGCAGCTTTTCAACTCGTGAAGAAAAAAGGTTAACTTTTAAAAGGGGATTCTTGGGCTGACTAACTTCTCCGGGAAGGTTTTCTGTTGAAGAAAAGAAGAGTTAGGAAGTAGAAGTCTGTATTAGGGCTGGCTAAGCACTCAAGACTAAATATAGCCATGTATATATGTAATTTTATAGTCCTCTCAGTGTGTGAATAAAGCTAGGAGCCCCGATGAGGTGGTTTTGCATTCCCACCAGCTTCACCTGCAGAGGACATCTCTCCCTGACTGCAGGTGACCTGCCATCCTGGTGGCACAAGGGGATGGGGCCATCCCATGGGGACCTGCTCAGCGCAGGACAGCATCGTCCGGGTAAAAGCAGCTCAGCGCCTCTCCTTAGCAGGGCCTTCCAGCACAGGGGCATTGGGCTGCCCTTGCCTTCAAGCCGAGGTTGCATTTTCCTTGTCTGCAGGTTCCTTTCGGACAAGTACTACACGCAGACCACCCCACTGCTCCTGGGAGCATCATGGAAGGAGGGTGCTGAGAGAAGGGGGCTCCTATGCCACGCGCTGGTGTTACACAACAGCACGAGGGGCTGTTGCGCATCTGGGAGAAGTGGCAAAATAATGCAGCTCTGTCTTTGCGAGCTGAACGACAGGCCACGTTTCAAAACGTCCCCCTCGCACCTCTTCACTGTGCATTAGTTGTGAGCAGCGATTCAGGCGAGCCCAGCAGTCTTAGATCCAAACTGAGATTTGTTGATTCCAGCAGCGGCACTGGCCTTGGGCACCCTGCTCTGCCGTGGCAGCTCCCCAGCGCCCTGTTCCCTTGCATTTATGACCCCCTCTTTGCAGTAAGAGTGGCACGCAGGTCTGCAGTCAAACGAAGGCTCCAGCCCGGGTCTCCCAGGGGTCGCAAACCAGCACATTGACCCACTGTGCGACCTGGCGAGGACTTGTGGCTCTCTCTGGATTTTATGGCAGGATACCCTTGCCCGAGTATCACACGATCAGGGGGCTACACAGTCGGTGCACAGTCAGCCTCTGAAGGGCAGCTGGCACGATGACAGTGGACTTTAAAAATGAATGAATTGTCAGCTTCAGTCTGGATGTCACCATCATTTTAATGCTAATGGACTTTTTCCTCAGCCAGCCTCCGGTCTGAATGGGGAGCACAGAAACATCCCAATATTTATGGGATTTTAACTAGATTAGTTACAAACCTGTAAAGCAAAGAAAGAGACAGTTCATCCAGTATTGGGGAGGGGAGTGTTAAAAATGCCACCTCAGATAAAATATTATGGGAGTTCAGTAACTGTAAATAAGAACCTTGCCTATGAAATGGCTTCTTATGTGAGCTTGGGATGAGGGCCAAGAGAACGTCTAGCGCTTGGGGAAATTTATTAGCCCAGATCAACATGATTTCTGGGACTCAGGAGATGGGGTGGCAAAGAATTTGCCTGTTGGAGTCTGCACTTTCTCCATTCATGCCTGCAGCAGGAGTTTTACTTATAAAACTTTCAAGATGGTTCATTTGCATTTTTTGAATTTTCTTGGTTCTCATTAGCAGCTTCAGTTCTGGCCTGGGACTTGGGAGAGCTGGGTTCAAGCTCTGGGTTTCCACAGCCTGGCAGTGTGGTCTTGGACAAGTCATTCATCTCCCTGTGCTTCAGTGTCCCTCTGCAGAGAGGAGATAAACGTTATTTCCTGACTCACAGCGATGTCAGGAGGGCGTGCTGAGGACCAGGAGGCATTCAGATACTTGAAGCAAGAGCGAGAGTACTGTTGAGTGCTCCCTCACGAATGACAAGAGCCCGTGCCCAGCTGCTACAATGCATGAGGTGACCCCTCACGAGGGGAGGAATGGCATTGGGCGGGGGGTGATGGGTCTTCCCTTGGATCCCAGTCATTTTGGTCACTGGCAGTGACTCTCCCGGCTCGGATGCCTTTATTTTATACCCTCAGCTGGTGCAAGCTGGCTGTCCTGATGGGGTCACTGGTGTCCTGATGGTATTAGGGTCATTTTGGCTATGCATTCACTTAAAAATAGGGCATGTGCACATCAACAGCACACACCCTGAGAACCTGCTGCCTTTTGTCCCCCCAGTTTTCATCTCTCTCGCTCCCATTTGCACCCTTTTGCTCTTCCTTCTGCTGTTTCTTACCTGTATTCAGCTTTCTGTCCAGGTTCTTCAAGCACGTGTATCCCCTTCTGCCTTCCCTTCGGTATTTCTGCCTCCACCTCCATCCTCTCTCCCACATGTTGTCTGCGTTTTATTTTTCTTATCTTGTTTTTGGAACCCGTCCTTAGCCTCTCCTGTGTATTTCCCTTTTCCTCCCTCTAGTTCCAAGAGCTCTTCAGTAAACAGCATCCCTCTCCTGTTCTGACTCATTGCCCACTGGCAGTGGAAAGATTTCATCATGAAAGCGATACAAAGATCTCCCGTTTTAGAGCAGGGGGTAGGTTAGGATGACCTTGCTCCGCCTGTCAAGTGAAGAGCCACAGGGTCCAACTCCTCAGCCAAAGTTTATTTGCGAATTTATCTCACGGGCATTTAAGACCGCTCAGTTGTTCTTCATTCCCCCAGCAGCAGGAGTACCTGCGTGCCGCAGGGGGAGGCTGTGTCGTGCCCTGTATCGCCCCGCGCCCATAGAATGGCCCAGAGCGGCTCGTGGTAATGTACTTAGCCGAAGTGTGGGAAAACTCTCCGGCTTGAACTTGGCTTTGTGTTTCCATGCCATATGAAACTCGTTGAATGTTTGTCCTTCCCTTCACGTGGCTGCTGCCTGCTCTTGTATTGCATTGACATATGTAAAATCTATTTGGTGCCCTTTTTAATATGCTGCTTACAGTATAAATACAAAAGCAGACAGAGCTTCTGAAGAGAAAGAAATGTAATTGTGGTGGTGGTTGTTGTTATAAATAGTGCAAAGGATTTAGAAGCCATTTAGTCTTTTGGGCAGGAATCACAAGTGTTCTGTGTAATATAATCTCAAGGCTCTCGTATTTAGCTGTTGAAGTCGTCCCCGTTGCGGTTGGCCCAGTTCACTCATCACCGTTTGGCCGCAGTGCAGGATGAGGATGCTCTGCTCCGCACGGGAGTGAGGTTTAGCCTCCAAAGATGTGGTGTGCTAGGTCATATGCCTGATCTGTACCTGCATATAGCACTGTTATTCGTGCAATCAGGCATTTGCATCTGCAACTGGCCCGTTTACATAAAGAACCTTGGTATTTCCACACACAAATTTTTGAGGTTGGTTCCTAAAATCAGTGCTGCATTTTTCCTCTGCTGGAGTGAAATGCAAATATTTATTTATTGACATAGCTGGAGCTGATCGTTTTCCCTGTCCAGCTCTGAGCTGTCTGTTCCGTCAGATGAAAACAAGTAGTATTCTTATTTCTTTTTAAAATGCAGTTGTTCATAACTGGGTTAAAAACAATTAGTGCCTGCTCTCTGCCAGCCCCGGTAGAGTGCTATATATATTTGTGTTGTGTATGTATGTATGTGTATATCAAAAGGGGCTGAACGCCCAGATATTCTCTTGGCAGCCCTGCTGTCTGGTTAGAAAAGGAAGTGAGCTACAAAATTTGAACATTCAGTTCTGAGACTTGAAAGCTTTCTGGGTTTTATTACTGACTCAACAGGGTTTTCATTATGTATGTGGCCAAGAAGAGAGGTTTACGCAAGAGGAACATATTGTAGTTGAATATGTTTGTAATTTTACACATTGTTAAATAACTGAGATAACTAGATGTCTCCTAAATGGTCAAAATAAATTAAGTGCTAGCAGCAGTGTCACTGTGGCACAGACAAGTCAATACAAAAGAGTGGTCGCCCCCCATCCGAAAGCTGATTTCCAGTGCGGAGGGGTCCTGATCCAGATGCTGAGTGGGACTTTGCTGTTGATGTGAATGAAAGCCATCTTTCCCTCAGTGTATCTGGAAGCCTCTTGCTGCCTGTCAGTCTCTTCTATTCCAGATGATGGTATCCTCAGCTTTTTTCTTTTTTTTTTTTTCTTTTCTTTTTTTAGCAACTCAGTGCTATTCAAACAGCAGTTTGAGGCTATGTTTCTTCTGCTCTCATTTTCATGTTAGTTTTAGGAAGGAAAATATTTTGAGCAGCAGATTATCATGCAAAGAAAGAAGGCGTGGGATGCATGGGCTAAGCTGTAAATACAGACCAAGGCTGAGTCCCGCCGTCCTGCTCCTCTCCTGCAGCAGGGGATGTGCTGCCGGATCGCAGCCTGCCGCCCGTCAGCTCTGCCGCAAACCGGCTTGACAGCAAAGTGAATTCCTGTCCCACAGACAACGTGCTCCCAGCTAATTTTGCACTTGTTCATGTGATGGGTATTTATTCTTCATTGTCTTAAAAAGGTATTTATTTTTAAACCTCTGTGGTCTCTGGAGCCATACAGCCTTAGCGCATGTGTTCTCACGAAACTACCGTCAGCGGGAAATGCTGTCTGTATGTGCCTTTGCATTTTACACAGGGGAAGCCAAGGCGCAGGGAAAATATAAGATAATTCAGGCGGGAATTCAGAACCCAGTCTGAACCTCTCTCGGTCTCATTTATGCCCAGTGTCTCTCCTGTGCACACTACCATGAGCAGCCTGGCTCTGCCTTCTGGAGAACCACTCCGGAGGTGCCGGGGGCTGCTCTGGGATCCCCCGGAGCCTCCCCATCCCAGGGTGGCCAAGCCCCCTTCCCTCAGCCCAGCCATCTGATGGCTGTCTTCGCTGTGGGCTCGTGCCCGGTGCACACGCAGGGAGCCTGGTCTCCATTGCTCCTCACCCCGATCGCAGCCACGAGAGCAGCAGGGAGGTGTGTTGGTTCCCTTCAATGGGCACAGTGATGGCTGCACTGCGGTCCTGCCGCTGCCTGCGACAGCAAACTCCATGGTCGCTGGAATGTGATTGCCTTTGCTTGGGGTCTTTTTTAAAAATGGCGTAGCTTTAGGGCATGTGACACCTCCAGCATCATAAATTGAGCTGGGTAGCCTCTCATTTTTGCCTGTGGTTTGTTCCATTTGTTCGGTCGTGTATCTTCATGGAGAAACACCTGCCTTTACTGCTCTTGCAGAAGCTACATGTGAAGCAGTGTGGGTCGCAGCAACGGCTGGCCCATGGCACTGAACCACACGCAGGTCAGCAAAGCCCGAAGGCATCCCTTGCCGGTGCTGCTGGGGGTGACCACATGCGCAGGTCAGACCCGCTTTTAAGGTGGGAGGTGCAGCGTGCGCCTGCCCCTGTGCACCAGAGCAGTTCACCCGCTTCCTCCCGCCGGCCCCTGGCAGCTGTGCCGGGTGGGCTGTGG